ATATAGATTTTGGTTAATTTTCTTAGGTCTGATTCAAGGTTCGGGTTAGGTCCATCTTTTTCCTAGGTGACAGCTGAAGTACTTGGAGTGAAGCATGATGACGCCTGCAGCTTAGTTTCAAATGGTTCAGAAAAAGTGCATAAAGCAAATATGGCAACATGTTAACAATGACTGAATCTAGGTGGCAGGTGTGTGAACACACATTATATTACTGTTTTGACCTTTCCGTATCTTCAAAAATTGTCATAATGAAAACCTGAAAAATGATAATAGATTTGAAGGTTTCTAGCAAGTGATTATTTATTTGCTTATCAAGAAAGTTTAAGGTTAAATTATCAAAGATTACAAGTGATCCAGTTATTGTATTTATTTTCTATTAAAACCAGTAGTCATCTATCATTCATTTTTAGAATCAATCTTTTTGAAAACCCAGATGATGCTAAAGGCAACAAAGGGGCAATCTCATCAAACAGCTAAGTTTACTAGGGTGATTTGTTCTTGTATTTAAAAATGTCATTAAGTTCTGATATCCTCCAATATTTTTAACAGCATTGTGAAATTATTAGGGAGCTGATCACCAAATCCAAGGTCCTTTTCTGCATTATTTGGCACTGCTAACCACTGTGTTCTTTTGTGCAGCTCTTTTCTCAGATAATGTAGAAGTATGGTAATTCTTTGAAGAGGCGATGGTGCCTAGTGACGGATTGACTATAAAGGATGAAGGGGAGAGTGGAGAAACCCACTTTTTTTAAAGCAAGTTTCCATGTAATCCATTTTTAGCACTGTTATTTATGTTAATCTTTAAAAATTTTATTTATTTTCATTTGTATCAATCTTAATCTAATCCTAAAGCTGTTAGGTGTAAAATAAAGTCTTCTTACTCAATGGTAGAATAAGAGGTTTGCCATGGGGAAGTGAACAAAACTCTATAAACCATGGGAATTAATTTACCTTACTGCTCCAGAAGACTGAGTCAGTGTGATATAATGGCAAGCTTACTCTATTTGAAGACTTGGGGTGGAGTCCAGGCTTCCTATTTATTTGCTCTTTTAACCCTGAGTAAGTCGCTTAATTTCTCTGGGTCTCGTATTCCTCCAGTTTTAAAATATCACTGACTCCAAAGAAAGAACTGACAGATAAGAAAATGATAAAAACAATCAAATAGAAAACTTGTCAGGTAGTGATATGGATGGTATGTATTTGATGTTAATGAGTGAAATTAAAAAAGAAAACCCAAAGAAACCCAAACCAATCATGTATTTTAGCAGGAACTTTAGGAGGAAAGAAAAAGCCATTGTAACTTTTATAAAATAAATGAACCCGGGAAATGAAAAAAAAAATCTGTGGTGGGGAAACACTTTGTCATATAGTTGGCTGTAAAATACAAAGCAGCAAAGAATAGAGTTTAGTTACACGGATTCAAGAGAACAAAAATTGCCTTTATTTATTTGAGGGAAACTAAATCACAACAAAACCCAAAACCACTATGAGGGATTCCAGCAATAATTTAATAGTTGAAAGCATGGCATTATTTTGGAAGTGAAAAAAATAAAATAAAAAATAGTCTTATCCTACTCTTAAGAAGTTTATATTCAAATTCATAAAAGATAATTAGGTAAACTCTAATTATTCTTATTTTGGAAAGAACTTTTCCCAAATATAAGTCACTTGGTAGCATTACCTTACCTGAAATATATTGTTCAAATGTGTACTATAAAAGGATACAGGAAAATGGGGCATCTCTGAGATTAGGCATGAAAAAGATAATGTCACACTTCACAAAAAGGAAATCCAAATGGCTAGTTGATATGTAAAAAGGTCCTCAACAGCGTCAGTAATCAGGGAGATGCAATTTAAAACTACAATGACACACTACCACACACTCACCAGACAGGCAAAACTAAAGAGTGAGGGTGTAGTTGAGGGTGTGGAGCAAGGGGATTCATACATGGTTGGTGTGAGTATAACACTTTAGAAAACAGCTTGGCGTTATTTATTCAAGTTTATGACACACATTACCACTCCCAGGTATATACTATACAGAAACTGATATAGATGTGATGGAATACATCTATGAAGAATGTTCACAGCACCATTTATAACAGCCCCAAACTGGAAACAACCTAGACGTCCATCAACAATAGAACAGCTAAATAAATTATGGCATATTGCTACAATGGAACACTGTAATATGCAGCAATTAAAATGAACAAATTACAGCTATATGAACCCGAACAACATACGGATTAAAAATGATGTTGAGCAAAAGCAGTAAGCACAACAGATTACATATTATGTTGTTCCATTTAATAAAGTTCAAAAGAAAGGGCAAAACTAAACAACATATTGTTTAGGGATGCACGCTCGTGACAAAACAATAGAGAAAAACAAGGAAATGATTATCACAAAAGTTAGATGGTCAACTCTAAAAGGGAGGGAGAGTTGTGTTCAAGAAGGTCACTGGGGGGGCTTCTGGGGTGCTGGCAATGTTCCATTTCTTGACCTGGTGAGTCACACTGAGGTTTCTTTCATAATTACTCATTATACTGATTAACTGCTTTATGCATTTCAATGTATATTTCACAATAAAAATGCGAAAGTAATTGAATATTGTAGATAGCATTTCTAGAAAGAAATTTTGCCAGATAATTTAGCTTATGAAATCTTTGACAGTAAAAACCACCGATGTGGGACAATAAAACTGATTAAACAGACTCTCACAAGAGCTCGCTTTCAAGCGTAGGAGAAAAGAACCCTAGGCAAATATCCCTTTGTTATATTTTAACAGAGTATGCAGATCTTTATCACAAACAAATTGAAGCAGGGAAAGAACTCTGTTACCTAAAACTTCAGAATTTTGAATGAATGGTTCTCTCCTCTGGATTAATAAGAAATAAAAGAACTAAAGAGATGCAGACCAAGTTGGAAATGCATGAACTTCCTCCTCTCCAGTCACCAGTCCCAGCTGTTTCCTCCAGTTAGCATGCTGGGTGGTGAGGTGGGTGGATCTTGCCCAGTAAGCTTAGCGCAGCTGTTCCTTCGTAAGTAGGTGGCTGAGGGCTCTCCTGAGTGCCATTCTGTCTCAGCACTAAGGTTCTAAGGTGGAGCCACTGACAATGAAACCAAATCAGGCTGCTGAAAAACCAAACGTGGCACACACTTTTCTGGAGGCGTCCTCTGCTGGGCTTCAGAGCTCTGGTGTTTGCTCTCTTTTTATCTAAAGCCGACAGAATTTAAAATCTGAGGTGCTCAGCTTCACAAAATCCCCTATATCTGTGCACTTTACTCCTTCGATTTCCACCAGCAAATTAGGAAAAGGGACAAAACTAAAAAAAATTATTTTGTAGCCATATTGGGCCATCACTTAGTGGTTTGATTCCCTATGAATCTTATTTGGAAGGACATGGCAGGGGATTGGTCATGAAAAGACAGTCAAATCCAGGGTAGTTTAAGCAGGATAGTTAACCCGGGTCTTGGAACTTTGGATCAAGGGCAGGCAGGCAGGTGCTACTTTGTGAGTCTCTTCTCACTTGTGCAATACCCTCCTCCCACCTCCATCACTTTTTCTGCAGTATTTTAATAAAAACGAGCCCTTCGATTTACCCAGTTAGAAGTTTCCTAGGTCTACTGTTTGCCGATGGTGGTGGCAGTAATGGTAGAAACCTAGAGTCTCCCAAATCTGACTATAAACACTTGCTCCTTAACCCCTGAGGTGGAAAGACTTGTAAAATCCATTACTGCCGTCTGTAGAGGAGGCAGGGTGTGCCAGGGTCCAGCGACAGAACGGTGGAATCTGCTTCCTTTCATCGTTGCTGCTGCTTTTATCTCATTCTCACACTATTCACCAGAACAGGTTCAAGCCAGATTTCTGAGGATTTTGGTCTTTTTATCTTAAAATTTCTTTTCTTAGAGAACTATACTTTCAACTTCATGAGTTTTTACTTGAATTTACTTTCCAGGATAACATCTGTAGGAAAAGCTGCATAATAGTAATAATATTTATTTTAGAAAGGAAATAGCCTTTGAGTCAGACCTGAAACACAGGCCAAAATTTCTTGACGACGGTAATGGACACTGATTAACCACCAAGACCAGTTCTCCAAAGCTTCAAACGGCAAGCAAGAACGATTCCTAAAAGTGAGGCACTACTAAAGTCTCCCCTGAAAAACAGCCAAAAATCCTTCCACAATCTCAGGCAGGATGGCTCCCTTCCCTCACCCCGGCAATTCGTCTCCTTTTTCACTAAAGACTCAGGTTGTGACTCAAGCCGCACCCCCATTTCCTTTCTCGGGAGGGGGCGGGGAGAGAAGAGATGTATTACAACTCTAGTCTTCACAAGGCTATGCAGTTTACAAAGCGCTTGCATTTCCATCAACACCTCTGAGCTCCGGGAGTGCCACGTGAGGGAGGCATTCATTCATTCACCAAACATTTGCTCCGCCCGACCACACGTTATCGGGCGCTGGGTCTCACCCCACACCTCGGGAAGGGTGGGGTGCGCGCTCTCTGGAGCAGGTGCAGAGGATCAGGCTGCAGGACAACTCCTCGCTCAGTCCGGCTTTTCGAAGGCCCGTTTGGGGCCAATTGCCTCACCTTCGGGTTGTGCGCCCGAGCATGGCCGCGCGGCCTGGGCCTCCTCCTTGCTCCCAAAGGAGCAGTCACCACCTGCCCTGAAGGAAACCGCTAAGAGCAAGCTCTCTCCGCCGCCCTCGGGTCAGGGGTAAGATCAGGCGGCAGCTTAGGCTCCACTCGGCTCCTCCCCTTCCTCTCTTCAGTTCTGACGCGGCCGTAGAGGCGGCGGCAGCGGCGGCGAGTCCCGCGGCCCGAGTCGCACCCACCCGCTCGCCGAACCCCGACTTCCTCTTCCCTTCGAGCGTCATCAGAGCGCGTCAGAGTTGCCCAGGGCGGGGTGGTTGGAAAGGGAAAAAAAGGCCAGCGAAGGAAGCCTCGGAGCGGAAAGAAAAGGGCGGGGGGAGGAGAGCGGTTGCTAGGTGACTTGCGTCATCAGTCTGCGCCGCTTTCCTCCCGCCCCTCTCTCTGGAGTGAGGCGAGAGCCCCGCACAGAGCGAGGGAGACAGCGAGCTGAGCTCCGGGCGCTACCGCCACCGCCGCCGAGAGCGTGAGAGCGAGGGAGCATCCGAGAGACCCAGCCCCCGTGCACTGGCCGCCGCCGAGACCTCCGCCCTAACCTGGGCCAGCGGGAGCCGCCGCCACCCCTCTTCTCCCCCCCTCACCTTCCCGGCCGGCAGCGGCGGCGGCACACGCCGGAGCCCGAGCCCGAGCCTGAGCCGGCGGCTGGGGGGCCGGGAGGCGGCTACCTCGGGCCGGGACTAGTCAGCTGCTCCGCGGTGAGAGGACGCTGAGGAGGGGCCGGAGCTTCTGTCTCGTCCCGGCGCGCGGGGCGAGGGACCCCCAAGGTGTAGGGAGGGGGTCCCAGCCGCAGCGACACATGCGGGAGCCGGGAGCGGGGGCGGCGCCGAGCGGAGCCGGCCGGGTCCCCCACCTCGCCGCCGCCTCGGCCACCCTCCCGGGCCCGTAGCATCTCGCCTCGGAGTGTATGAGCCGGGGCCCCAAGCCCAGCAACCACCCCCCGGCCGGGGGGGCGGGGACCCCGATGTGAAGCGGCGGCCGGGGCGGCGGGGAGAGCAGGACCGGCGCGGCCGTCCTTTCCTTCTCTTCCCCTCCCCTCTGCCCCCTCGGGGGTCTTCTCCCTGGCCAGTCGCCGGCCCCCCGGCTCCTCGGCTGGACTCCGGGAGGAGTTCTTAGAGCCCCCTCCCCCGCCCCAGCCCCCAGGGCGGCGGGGCCGGGGGGGACCCGGGGGGCCGGCCGCAGCCTCCGCCTAGAGGAAACTTTATAAAGACAAAATCCGGAGCCTCTCAAACGTGACTGTCCCGGGAGAAGTGGCCCAGGACGGGCAGGAGACTCAGCCTGAAGAGACCCAGGAAGAGGAAAAGGAGGTAAGCGGGGCCGCCACCGCCTCTGCTCCAGCTGCGCGGAAGAGACCCGAGTGGCCGTCTGGTTTAGCGACACCAGCGCCGCTTCTTCCTCACGGACGCGCCGGAGTCTTCCGCAGCTGCCGCCTCGGTCCGAAGGAGGAAGGGAACCAACCCACTTTCTCAGCGCCCCGGCTCTTCTCTAAAGTGTGAGTGGCCCCGCGAAAGGGAGTGGAGGGGTGGAGAGTGGGAAGATGCCGGTGCGACCTCCGGGAGTTCTGTTTGCCAGGAGTGTCGGGAGTGTGCGGATGAGCGGCTGTATCCTGACTCCTCACTGCGGGGAGGAGGTATTGGGTAGTCCTGTGTTTTGTAACCTTTTAGCTCTTTGTACGTGTGATATGCAAGCTTACAGGTTTCTCTTAGAGGAGTTCTTTCTCCAGAGTGGACACTTGCACCTTTCTGGCCAGTGATTGGCAGAAGGAAATTGAGGAAGCCAGAACATATGTGCACACAAAGGACATCTCTGTAATATACCTTTTCCTGGTGCACCGGTGTGAACAGCGCAGTAGTTTTTGTTTCTGGGCAAATCTTATTTTGCTTCCCAAGTGGGAACCTCTTTTACCCTGGGAATCCTGAAAGTAAAATTCTTTTCTTTTTTGACAGTCTTCCTTGAGAGATTTTCCTCTTGGTACAAGAGTTTTTTACCTTCTCAGTTTCTGGGTTCGATTCCTGTGGGTCAGGAGGACACTGTAACAGATTTTAATTAGGAAATTCTCAGTTTTTATGAATCACAGCTAATTTGGAGGAGAGCATTTAGGACTTTAACCAGTTTATAGAAGTTGTTATATTTTTTCCTTTCCCAGATGCTTTGTATTTTTTTTTTAAATTTGAGTAGCATATGTCCTAATTGCTAGCGTTTTTATTTGGCAGAATGACTTGAGGCTTTGCGTGTTTGTGTTATCTTTACTTCTCTATCAAATGAGGAGAAACTTTTCATATTTAATTCTTTGAAGAATGATTTTTTTCCTTCCCTTATTTTAAAGGCGAAGTCTATAAAATCTTTGATTTGTGATTTAGGTATCTTCTCAGAGTGCCAAATTAGGATGCAGGAAAGCAGTTAACATTTCATATATTTATACAGACCTTAAGGGTTAGGCATAGGGTGGAATTTTATATAAAGAACATAAGCAGTACTATTTGAGAATTAAGGTCCCTCTAGACAACTGTGTGGGCTCGCTGTTCCTGAAGCCACTGCTGAGAGAAGCTTTGTGGGAATGAATGTAAGCATAGGGTTATCTATGGTAACTTTTCTATTCAGGATCTTGATTAAATGTATTTAAAACTTTCTGAAACACTGTTTTCATCCTGAACTTTTTCTCCTTTGAAGTTATGAGTTCTACACGTTTGTTAGCCCCTAAACTATGTAACAATTTGTGTATTTATCAAAAACCTGTCCCTTAAAAGTTCCAAGACACATCCAGAGTTTGTGTTTTGCGAAATGCTGGAACAAGCTGGAGTTTGTCTTTTCCTGGTTTTATAGATTTTGATTGTTCCTCTTTACCATCATCTTTCCTGACTCTGTCTGGCTTAGAATAATTTCTTCAATCCCTTTGATCACTTTTCCCTCCTCTGGAACTTCTGTTTTGTGTTTCTTTAGTGCTTTGTTCTTGTTGTGCTTTTGTAAGGAACCTTAAATTCTGTCTATTTTAAATGGGTACTGACATGCACATATTACGCAGTGGATGTAATGTTAGATGTGGAATCAAAAACAAATGTCGTTGGATTTGTTGTCTTATTTTATGACCTTGAGGAAGTCATGTATCCCGTGTTTCACAAAGATAGGAGGAAGAGAAATCTAGTCTAGCTTGGCTGTTTTCTGGGGAGGAAGGGAGGACAAACCAACAAACTATAATTTGAGTATAGGTTGTACTCCATCAAAGTTGCTTACTAACTTGAAGACTTACTTTTTATTGCTTTGACTGTAGATTGGTTAAAAATCATGGTAATGTTTTTATTGCATATTTGGGTAGCAAAGAAACAAAGTATTTGGGGCCCTGCCTTTGAGATGCTTTTACTTGTGGGTGGCAGAGGCAATGAAACAAATTGTACGAAATTGTAGGAAAGGGCGAATGGACCAGTATTTATCAGTGACTGCTGTATGTCAGATACTGTGTTTGGTACCTTATAAGTGTAAATGTATTTGTCCATTTTTCATTAGGGAAATGTTGATGTTGGACTGTACAGAATTGGAGTGTCTGAGCTAACTCTGGAAGGGTCTCTTTTAGGAAGAAAAGAGCAGGTGGAGACAAAGTGTTTAAGACTTGGAATTGGAGGGTGTGAGGGACAAAGTAATTAGGAAGTTAGCGTGATGGAAATACAGAGGGAGGCTGTTGACTAGGCTTAGGGTCAGTTTGTGTTTGTGTAGATCCCTCTTTATAGCCTGAAGCAGCAATTGAGAACAGTGTTTCTGGGAGGATGGTTTTAGATGATTGAGGAGAAATTGTATTTTAGGCCAAGAGGCATTAGATCTGGATTAAGATTTTGTTTTTCTAGGGAACCAGCATTTTTACACCATGGTCATCAAAAAGCTGTACAGATGGAGGAGTGAAAAAGAAGATGCTTCTGATATTTTGGAATGATGTTAGTAGTTTCTTGTAAAAAATAATTCAGAAATTGGGCAGTTCACTTTGTTTTCAACATTAAATTTTAGGGTGAAAGTTGGATGCTGAAGCAATCTCAACACAGTAAAATAGTTAAACTAATGAATGATATGCCGAAAATGTAGAGTTGGGAGTCATTTTCAAAGTATTAAGGTTTCCTGAGAGTGCTGCTGGAGAGTAAAGTGCTGAAAAGTGAGTAGTTTTACTTGGGGGGCAGGGGAAGGGGAATCTGTTAAAGTTAGTAAAGACATAGTAGGAAGAGAGAATGGAGGAGACTCTCTCTAAAACAGAAGTTTTAAAAGTGGATAAGATTTGAGGTTGAAAAGGGAGGAACAGCCTTTAAACATGGCTACCGGTTCAGTCGTAGGGTGAATGATTCTATATTTTTGAAACAGCTAATAAGCTTTTTGTAGAGTTTATACGTCCCTTGAGGTTAAGTTCAGAAGAATATATAGGATTTCACTGATAAGGTACTTATACACAGAAGGACAGATTTGTGTCACCAAGTTCACGTTTTTAAAGTTTGTCCTGCACTGTTATCCTAAGTTTGGTCTTTAACGTGATGAAGTGAGGCTAAAAATAGCTGGCAGAGAAGGCTGCTTCCCCTGCTCACAGTTGGTGTGTGTCTTTGTGTCCCATACAATGGAGGGGATATCCCTGTGTTGGCACAGCAGTGCTGAAAATGCCTTTTTTTTTTTTTAAACTTTTTACTAAAGAACAAAACAGCTTGGCACTTACAAAAATTCAGACATCTTTGAAGCATGAAACACTGGAAAACTGTCTTTTTTTGTGGTGAAACCTGTAGCTAATGTGCATTTAGTGTTGACTCTGACAAGGATTAAGGATTGAGAAGTAGGGAATATATATATCCACACTTTTTTGTGTTGCTTAGTTCAAATTTACCACCTTCCTGGTAGCTTCTTTGGCCTCTTAAGAGTGATAATTCCAATGGCAGAACCCTCTGGGGAAGAGATATTTAGACAGGGAGCTAGATTTAGGGTGATTCTAGGATGAGGATACAGGAACTGGAGTATATGCTATATGGGTGCTTTCTGTCTTCACCCTCTACTTTCCACGACATTTTTTTATGCAGGTAAAACCATGTTTAGATGAACTTAAAGGACAGCCTTTTTGGGTTAACATGTCTTACTAGTCAAGACAGTGGGAGAGATGGGACTCTGATAGTGGGGAATGGTAACTTATGCACTTTGCCTTGGCAACTTTGGGATTGATATGGGATGATTAAAGAGCCTTGGGGATGTGTGTTTGTGTTTGTGTGTTTTAGCAGCAGATAACCCCAAAGCCCACACTTAGGCTAGCAGTGACCCAATTCATAGACTTTGGAGATGGTTCTTGGAGAAGTCTTGTGTTGTCTCTGACATCTCATTATGTAGAGGAGAGGTTGGCAAACTTTTTTTGGTAAAGGGCCAGTTAATAAATATTTTAGATTTTGTGAACCATATGATCTCTGTCACAAAGATTCAATTCTGCTTTTGTAGTGTGAAAGCAGCCGTAGACAGTATATAAGCTAAAGAGTGTGGCTGTGTTCCAGTAAAACATTATACATAAAAACAGGAGGTATGAGCCAGCCCTGATGGCCTAGCGGTTAAAGTTTGGCGTGCTTCGGTTTGGCGGCTCTAGGTGCGGAACCACACCACTTGTCTGTCAGTAGCCATGCTGTAGTGGTGGCTCACATAGAAGAACTAGAAGGACTTACAGCTAGAATATACAACTGTGTATTGGGTCTTTGGAGAGGTAAAAAGAAAAAAAAGAAAGATTGGCAACAGATGTTAGCTCAGGGTGAATCTTTCCCAGCAAAAAAAAAAAAAAAAAACCCCAAAAAAGCCCAGGAGGTAGGTTGGGTTTGGCCTGTAATTTATGGCCACCCCCCCCCCCCCAGGTGTAGACAACTGCCAAGTTCACCAACACAGAGTATGAACTTCATTCCATTAAAAAGCTGGGTGGTCTCTGTTTTCTAAATGTGATGAGTCCCCTGGAGGCTGTCTTAAAAAGATTCTGCATAAAGCATAAGTCTATTGTTCAAGATACTTTTGCCTCCATAGTGATGAAAACTTTGGATTGAAGAGCAGGGGAATACAGCTTTGCTGTATTCTAAAGGGTAAATGTAGTGTGGATTAGTTTGTTTCTTAAGTGAATCTATCTCAAATGTGTTGTTTAGAAAGGATAATTCACTTTGTGCAATTTTACATTATAGCTAATGTCAAAACGTTTGTTTCGTACGTCGACAAATACCTGCACTGGATGATGGTATCCTGGTTTTGTAAATCTTATTTATCTCAGGATTTCTCTGTTTATGGGAGGGGAGGGAGTTTCTTTTGCAAGTGATCACTTTTTAGTTATTTTTAAACATGCTCTTACTTTATGTAGTATTTCTGCACATATAATTGGTACTTCAATTCCTCTTTAAAAAAAAGAGTCTATATATCTGACAATTTTAGTATACCTTTTAGAAGGTCACTATAAAGTTAATTCTCTTATTCATTAGGAGAGAGTTCTTTCCTTGTTCTTTAAAAATCTTCCTTTTAATT